GGCTTTTGATCTCAGCTAAGGTCATGATCTCACAGTTCCTGAGTTCGAGCCTGGCATCAGGCTCTGCACGATAGCAAAGAGCCTGCTTGGGATTCTGTTTCTCCCTCTCACTGCACCTCCCCAACTCATGCTCTCTTTCAAAATAAACAAACTTAAGGGGCGCCTGGGTGGCTCAGTCAGTTAAGTGTCCAACTTCGGCTTAGGTCATGATCTCACAACTCAGGGGTTTGAGCCCCACATCAGGTTCTGTGCTGACAGCTCAGAGCCTTGAGCCTGCTTCAGATTCTGTGTCTCCCCCTCTCTCTCTGACCCTTCCCTGTTCACGCTGTCTCTATCCCTCTCTCTCAAAAATAAATTAAACATTAAAAAAAAAAAAGAAAAAAAATAAACAAATTTAAAAGAAATAAAAAGAAATTTATTTGATTTGTTACTTGACCTGGGTGGTGGTTACACAGAGCTAAACACTGACAATGCTTGTTTTTCTACATTAGACTCTAAAACATTTTTTCAATATGGATTATATGACACAGAATGCTATGCGATATATTATGATTAAAAAAAGATGTTTTTCAAAAAAGCACATATGTGATGCTCCCATTTGTGTAACACAGACCAATAATTCTGTATATTATCTGTTACTGCACACAGCACGAATGCTGACAGGTGATATGGGATGGAGACTAGGATAGCCTGGACAGGGGAATTCTATTTTACTGAACAGCTATATATAATAAACAACTTTTTGAAAGCAGGAAAGGTACTACTTGCAGCATATAACACAAATTTCAACAAGCAGAGTACACAGTAAAAAGTTTCCCTCCTACCACCATGGTTATTACCAGTTTCTAATAAAATCTGTCAGAATTATTCTACACACGTTAAAAGATTAAAGAAACCATCAGCACAAGCACCAGAGAACACTATACACACAGTTCTGCACCTTGATTCTATCATGTATCTTCAAGATCTTCACATCAGGGCCTATTAAGCTACCTTATTCTTTTTGATAGTTACATAGTATTTCAACCTATGGAAATACTGTTATTCAACCCCCTCCCCCAGGTACATTTACATTGTTTCCAAGCTTCTGTTACTACTGTACTACTAATGTAGCTAAAAGGCATTGAAGTTATTTATTAAAAACTACTGGGGTAAGAGGCACCTGCATGGCTCAGTGGCTCAGTACATTAAGCGCCCAACTTCAGCTCAGGTCATGATCTCACAGTTTGTGGGTCTGAACCCCGCATCGGGCTCTATGTGAACAGCTCAGAGCCTGAATTCAGATTCTGTGTCTCCCCCTCTCTCTCTGCCCTCCCTAGCTTGTGCTCCCCCCCTCAAGAAGTAAACAAACATTACACCAAAACAAAACAAAAAAACCTACGGGGATCAAAACAAAAGGATATAGGGGCCAATTTGAAAGGGCTCCCATTAGCCTAAGATGGAAAAGTTTGTGCTTCAAAATAAATGTTTCTACTCAGAAGTTCATAAAGATAATCACAACAGCAAAAACCTTACAGGTCACTTCTGAAGCTCGCTATGGCATCAGTGCCTTATTATCTTGTCATTCCCATAAACAGGGCACATTCTCCTACACAGAATTTCAGTCAATAAATGCAGACGGGATGACAGGATTAGATTATCACCATTCCATGACCTAATAATGCAATAGATCTGTAGGCAAAGATGAAAAATGGCTGCTAAAATCATCAGAAGAAAAACTCATAGAAAAATTAAAATAAAAGAATGAATGAAAGCTGTTGAGCCCAGTGATCGTTACTACCATCACAAATGGGAGGCAGCCAGACATCACATGCTCCTGGTGTGATTCGATCACAAGGACTGAGGGCCACCTGTGCAATACTCTGCTAATTATAACTGAACCTGAATCTCACCAAGCTTCAGGGTTCAACTTCCCATTTACAGGGAACATAGGGAATAGTGTACACGTTAAAATGATGCCATGCGAAAGAAGCTTAATCCAGAACATGGGAAATTCTACAGAACAAAATGATCCAGTTTTTTTCAAAGACATGAAAAAGAGTGGTAGTATTACACACTAAACGAGTCTAAGGGACATATGAACGAAACGTAATGAATTAATTTTTGCTCTCTCACTGAAAAAAGGAAATGTAATAAGACAATTTGGGATAACACAGGCAACTGGAATATGGAGTCATATTAACTAATATTAAAGAATTACTACTGTTTAAAAATGGTATTGTTGTTGTTGTTTTTAATGTTTTATTTATTTTTGAGACAAAATACAAGCAGGGGAGGGGCAGAGGGAGAGAGACACAGAATCCTAAGCAGACTCCTGGCTCTGAGCTGTCAGCACAGAGCCTGGCACAGGGCTCAAAACCACGAACTGCAAGATCATGACCTGAGCCCAAGTCAAATGCTTAACTGACTGAGCCACCCAGGAATCCTGACGGTATTGTGGTTATTAACGCTTACAGAAAGTTTTAAAATACATGAAAGAATATAGATGAAATGACATATCTTTAATTTACTGGTAAACACAAGAGCCAAAACAGGGTGGGGGCAGACTAACGGAACAAGATTAAACAAGATGCTATTAACCAACTATTGAGACTATACAGGAAGCTTTTATTTCCTTTCCTTTTGTGTACATTTAAGGTTTGATATAATAAAAAGATTTTTAAAATGAGAACAGGTATACTTTTTAAAAAAACATTTTTCTTTTTTTGCATTTATTTATTTTTGAGAGGCAGAGACAGAGCGTGAGCAGGGAAGGGGCAGAGAAAGGAGACACAGAATCCGAAGCAGGCTTCAGGCTCTGAGCTAGCTGTCAGCAGAGCCCGATGCGGGGCTCAAACCTACGAACTGTGAGATCATGACCTGAGCCAAAGTTGGACACTTAACCGACTGAGCCACCCAGGCACCCCAGGCATACTTTGTTTTATCGCACTTCACAAATACTGTTTTTTGGGGCACTTGGGTGGCCCAGTAGATTAAGTGTATTAATCTTGGGTTTCAGCTTGGGTCATGATCTCACGGTAGGTAAGTTCAAGCACTGTGTCAGGCTCTGCAGCTGGCAGCATGGAGTCTGCTTGGGAGTTTCTCTCTCTGCCCCTCCCCCTCTCATGCTGTCTCGCTCTCAAACTTAAAAAAAAAATTATGTTTTTCACAAATATGAAGGTTTGTGGCAACTCTGCTTTAAGCAAGTCTATTGGTGCCATTTTCCCAATAGCATGTGCTTGTTTCATGTCTGTCTCACATTTCCGAGTCTTATAATTCAGTGATCTCTGATGTTCCTACTGTAACTGCCCTGGAGCACTGCACACTGTGCCTGTATAAGGTGGCAAGCTGAACTGGTATTGCATGTGCCCTGACTGTCCCACCAACTGGCAGTCCCCCCGCCCCATCTCTCTCCAGCTATTTGCCGAGATACAACAATATGGAAATCACATCAACGAACAAGCCTACGATGGCCTGTAAGTGTCCAAATGAAAGGAAGAGTCGCACATCTCTGACTTTCAATTGAAAGCTACAAATGATCAAGCTGAGTGAGAAAGGCAGGTCAAGAGCCAAGACACGCTGAAAGCCAGGCTTCTTGTACCCAATAACCAAGGTGTGAATGCAAAGGAGAAGGTCTTGAAAGAAAGTAGAAACACTACCTAAGGAAGACACAACTGCCAACATGAGAAGGCCTTATTGCTGATACGGAGGAAGTCTCAGTGGGCTGGACAGAAGACCAAACCAGCCACAACATTCCCTTAAGCCAAAGCCGCATCACGAGCAAGGCCCAGCTCCTCAATTCCACGAAGGCTCAAAGGTGAGGAAGCTGAAGCCAGCAGAGGCCAGCTCACTGAAGTTTAAGGGAAGACGCCGTCTCCACAAGGCAAAGCAGCAAGTGCTGATGGAGAAGCTGTGGCAAAGTTATCCAGAATATCCAGCTAAGGTCGCTGATGAAGACGGTTCTGCCCAACAACAGACTTTCTGTACCGAAAGCCTTCTACTGGAAGAAGAGGCCATCTAGGACTCCTGTAACTGTAAAGAAGTCAGGGCCTGGCTTCAACGCTTCAAGGACAGGCAGACTCTCTTGTCATGGGCGAATGCAGCTGGTGACCTGAAGCTGAAGCCAGTGCTCACTGGCCGTTGTGAAAATCCGAGGGTCCTTAAGAATTATCCTAAATCTGCCTGTTGTGAGGATTATGTGAGGAAACTTACGTAAAGTGCTTAGCATAGGATCTAGCATAGAGTAAGTGCTCAAGGTAAAGGTTATTATTTAATACTCTTTGTATTCCCACAGCTGCTCTGGCTTAGGCCTTCATTTTTCATTTGTATTACCCTAAGAACCTTCTGGATTATTTTATCTCAAAAACAATTTGGAGAGGAGAGATTATCTTTCTTTCACACATGCCTTATTTTTTTTCTAGCTACTATATATAGGTTACTCACTACTGACAGACACTGTGTTGGGTATTTTCCAAGCATTACCTTCAATCTTTGTAACAATCCTTTGGAGATGAGAAAAGTTTAAGTGACTTAACCGCTCAAGGCCCTATAAGTACTAAGAGTCAAAAGCCAAGATTTGAACACAAATCTGTCTGGTAGCAAAGCTTGCTCTGTTCCCTAGGCCACATGACTTCCTCTTACTAATAAAGAATTGCAATTTTTTCTAAAAAAAAGTTTTTTTTATTTTGAAATTACAATACTTTAAAAAGTTTCACTAAAGCAGTGCAATCTGGATTGAATCTACCTTTTCAATGAAATTAGTATCTTTTGTGAAATTATTCATGCTTTGTCTATTTATCTGCAATAATGGCTGATTTGTGTCAGGTTTCCACACATGCCCTGATTTACTTTCTGGGCTTTCTAGTCAGTTCCCTGGGTCTACAGTTACCATTCAAGGGCTTGTATCTTCTGTTTAGCTTAGAGGTAATACCAGTATCAGATAGAAGGTGCCTAATAAACACTGGCTAACCAACTAATAAGTGCTTGGAACTCACTTCTCCTATACCACAAGACGAACATACCTGAGAGAAACCTCGAGTAGAACTGTAAGAACTGGTAATGGCATTGCGGCTGGAGCTAGGGATGCCACCGGTATAGGTGCTTGTCAAGGAGCTCATGGAAGAGGTGCGGGATCTCTTATTCAAGTGGTCATCTGAGCTCTGGGAATTGAGACCTCTTTTCAGAGAGCCAGGCCTAATAAAAGAGAAAAAGACAGTGAGATGCGCTATTTAAGGCAAAATTCTTTTAAGGCTTTCATCCATGGTCATAAAATGTTTCTTAAATAAACTTAATACAAAAGGATGAAGCTCTTAATATTACTGTTACCACTTCAACTAAATATCTCTGACAAAAGCAGGAAGGGAAAGCCAAATATTTAAAAAGTGAAACGTATGATTCCACTTATATTTCAGAAAATGCACACTAACCTACAGTGACAAAAAGCAGATCCATGGATGCCTGGGGACAGAGGCAGGGATGGAGGAAGGTGTTACTAAGGGGCACAGGCAAACTTTTGAAGGTGATGGTTATGTTTATTACCTAGACTGTGGCAATGGCTTAACAGTTGGATACATGTCAGAACTTATCAAACTACACTTTAGACAGGTACAGTTTACTATAAATGTCAATTATACTTCAATAAAGCTATTTAAAAATCTATTAAAAAATCAGAGTTAAGAGAAACCAACCAATTTTACTAAGCTTCCAACCGAAACAAAAATTCTCTAAACACCTTTCTTGTAGAGTAGGCATCTAACCTTTGTTACAATGTTACAACTCACTATCTAGAGTGACGAAGGTTAGCCACCGACTAGTTTATTTTTACACTGGATGGAAACATATTTCCTCTAAGGTCCACAGACTTTACCAGGGGATCCCATCTGGAGCCAAACCAAGCGACTGTTTTCCTTTTTTGTTCACATGACTGTTTTCGTTTTTTTGTTCACGCCCTTTAGGTTTTTGAAGAGCATTAGCCTCCCCTCCCTCATTTCCTTACTCCCCTTGAGATTTTTCTCCTTTGGGTTAGTATTTTATACCTTTAAAACCCACTCACGCACCACCACCACCATATAACATCTTATAATTGCTTCACGTGGAATGAATGTCAGGTTGTGTTTATCCTCTCTCACTGCATAGGATGTGGAAGCAAGCATAGCACTGCATGGACGATGTGAGGAGAATTAAAGCAGGACTGCCTCTTGGCTGCTCCATTCTAGTCTCTGTCCTTCTATCAGCACACACTAGGAGCACAGCCGCTCTTCCGACGGCCTTCTCCTACTACTAACTCAAAAGCATGTAAGTTACCCCAAATACCTCTTCACACGAATTTCTAAGCCATTTCCCCTCCTATCCAATTCTCTCCTAAAGGTACTTCAACTCACATGTACAAACAACATTTATCTTAAATTCCATACTACAACATTTTATCCATTGCACATACCTATTTATACATGTGGTTATTAAATACATTTACAAAGTTTCCTGGCTTTACCATACTTTATCCATAGTAATGAAAAATATCAAAAGAAATTAGAAGACACTGTGACACATTCTACTCAAAATGTTCCTCTCCAATATCAAAGATTTGGACCTGAATTAACAAAGCATCACAAAAAGCACAGAGTAAAATCTACAGGACAACAGCTCTGGCAGTTCCCTTCCCCCAAATAGTCCATCTCATTCAGAGAAGAGTCTCACTTACTTAGGCACAAAAGAAGCAGGGACTCCATTGGCCACCAGGGGCTCAAATGCTGAATGTCCACTCCCACTGCTATCATGGCGCCTGTGACAAATCAAAAAACCCTCAATTAAAAGAAATGACTGTTTTTTTCTTAGAGCATCTTCTCATATTCCTGGAGCCTTATACCATTTCTATGGCATATGAGTTCCATGCTAGATAAGTTGCTTCAAATCCTACAGATTCTGAAAAGTAAACTGATTCTAAGACTGTCCTCGTAACAAGGGAAGTATAAACATGCTTCCAGACCTTTGGAACTTTCTCAGGTGTATCGATTAACTGCTAATTCTCTCCAAAGTTTTACAATCATGAATTTAACACTCTACCATCCACAAATTAAAAACAAAAAACCAATGAATACTTTAGGGACCAACCCACACATCCCATAGTGCTCTAGAGGTTAACAGGGCAAGTCTGTTAGAGAAAAAAAGTCACATATCACACATAAGAAGGACCTATGTGTGGTGCCCATAATCCCTGCTTACTCCAAGTGTGAGAAATATAATAGGGTCTTCAGTTACACAGGCTCACAGGGTCAAGAAAAATTATAACCTTGGAGAACAAGGGAGACCTACTGGGAATATAAGGAGGATTCCTTCTCCTGCCTCCACATCCTCCACTCCTTGCCACTCCTGCTTAGCTGGCTGACATCAGTTCAAAGTGCTCACTTGTAAGTCATCTCTTCACCATTAGATTTTCCTATGTCACATAAAAACACTTCCACTTATTAATGTTTCCCTACTGAATCTTACATTGGCAGTATCAAGGATGGCCATCTTTGAACTTGTAGGAGACAAACAATCTAGTCTAGGTAATGGAAACAATGGTTATATTTAACAAGTGTGGGATCCACTGTCTCCTCGGACTGCTTCCTCGACCACCTTATATGAAGAGCCCCCTTCTAATTAGCCTGTTAGTTTTTTGTTTTTTTTTAACTTCTAGACACAATCTAGAATTCCTTATTTTATTATCCAAGTCCCACGGGAACTGTCTTGCTCACTGCTCTATCTACAGTCCCTGGAGTAGGCCCTGGCAATGAGAAGGTGCTCAATCTGTTGAATTAAAAGAGCGGAATCCTTAACTGGTTCTTAGAAAGCCATAAGCAGCTCTGCATCCTAACTAGTGACTTCAACCTCCGCTCTTTCCACACTCAGGAGACAGAATGTTTATTTCATTTTCATTAAGATATCAGAAACCAAACAATGAAACTGGTTTTATTCTCATTACTGGTAAATCTACCATATTCCAGTCTTCACCTTTCATTGCCAAACATTCCTTCAGGACAAGTAAGACATTTGAAATTGGGGTTACCCAAATAACTGAACAACACAAGCTGGTGAAAGGAAGATTGTTAGCATTCTCTTTAAAAAATAAAATTTAGCACATCTGTATCAAAAGTATGAGGCTAACATGGTTAATAGATGTCAGCTTATCTCTGGCACTTACGGAAGGGGTAAATCATAAAGTTTAACCTGTATCTTAGGAAACTAACACCATTCAAGCCCTTGTTTCCTAGCTCTTCCACGGAAGCCAAAGAAGCCAACTAAAGCTCACAAACTGGAGTTGGCCTCTGTATCTTTTTGGCAATGCTCTATATTTCAACAAATCACAGGAGTCCATGTGGGAGGCTGGTTAGTACTCTACTGGGCTGGTTACCTTCTTTTATTTTCCTGGTTATCACAAAATATTTGGTCTTCTTCTTCCACTGTCCTTTTCTTCCTCTCCTTGAGGGCACTCAATACAGTTTCCTTTGCACACGGGTCTGGGGCACTATTTGATGGTGAGGACAGTGTGGAGTTGATTATCTGCTCTGGTCTGTAAGGAAAGATCATATTCTAGCATCAAGACATTTTAATGTCAAGGGTACCCGAGTGGCTCAGTCAGTTAAGCTTCTGACTTGGCTCAGATCATGATCTCATGGTTCGTGGGTTTGAGCCCTCCCTACACACTGGGCTCTCTGCTGTCAGCACAGAGCCTGCTTCAGATCCCTCTGCCCCTCCCCCACCCACATTCATTCTCTTTAAAAAACAAACATTAAAAAATAATAATCATGCCAATAATAATCAATAGCACAGACTTCAGTCAATGGAAATCAGAAGCTAACCAATAAATAAAGTATACACTGATAGAAACTGCCCTTAACAATTAAAACTACAGTCTAAAGCCAAAACAAAACAAACAAAAAAACCGTTCAAGGATCAGATTTAGGGATTTGAATAAGCAGTTTCTTCCCTCTTATGCTTTACATTTGTTTTGTCAGAGGAACAGCTGTGGAAGAATTAAGTGGAAATAAATCGGAGTTTATTCTGGCAGCAGTAATACTCACATTGGCGACCGAGTCAATTTACTATCGGGAGGAGCAATCCTCACTGTCACTGGGCTGCACACCATTTTGGAATTACGAACAGACAGCACAGTCTTCTTGTGACAACCATTCCAGCACACTGTAGGAAGTACCCCCAGAAGGGAATACTGGGCCTGCTGGATTGGGTATCGTCTTCGAGGTGTTATTACAAACCGGTTTGATAAAGTCCCACAATCCCTATGGAGAATGAGACACACACTATAAGAACCAAAGAAGCTTGAAAGAAGGGCAGAAAATGTAGATTACTAAAGAATCATGTGGGTTCCGTTATTCTCCAGAGAGCTTAAACTGCTTTTTGAGCCACACAAAACAGCATTCTTACGGCAACATTCCCCCATTCCATCTACCGGTGGCAAATGGCAGCTGCCGAACAGCCGTCCCCGCAATGGATTTGAAAGATTTTGAGAGGGAAAGTGAAAACCCTGCTCACACAAGGAAACTACAATGGAAGGAAAATGCATGTTAGGACTTGCCAGGCAGCACTTTTCAAGAATTCCTAAAGTGTTTCAATTTTTTTATGCTAAGTAGTAAGTAATATACACCCAAAGTTAAACATTCTACTCATCTTTCAACTACATGGTCTTATCCATAATCTAACACTTTCACCAAAGTTTTGGATTCTCTTGTGTCAGTTGGCCATTGGGACTAAATGGAATGATCAAATTTTATCAAAGAGGGGTCTCCTGGGAACACTACTCTGACGTAATTTTTCGTACTGTTCCAAAAGTAAAAAAATACAGCAAAACATACGATCTAACTAACTCCTGAAGGAGCAAGATATTTTCACCAGAAGTAGGGATACTTTAGTAGCTTATTAAGTATCCTGCTAAATCCATGCTGTATTAAGTTTTAAAAACCGTAAGGAGGGGAACAGCTCTGCCATCACATCTCATCCCAAAGGTTCAAGGAGGGCAGGAGGCGGCTGACACACACCAAGATGTTTCAAGAGGACAAAGAGACACAGAATCCTCTTTGGACTTAACGAAAACCGGATTTAAAAGTTAAGACCTCAATTCGGAGCTGGTCGACAGAGAGGAGGGTCTGGGAAAGGTGAGCGTATCTTACCGGTGGGAAGGCTTCCTAGAGGATCGGAGAAGAGGAGTGGGGAGAGAGGGGTGAATGTGGTGAGCGCGATGCGGCGAGTGCGCGGGCGGCGCGGCGCGGGCAGACGCACGGCGGCGGCCAGGCCTCTCCAGCAGGTCCCTGGCCTCCGGGGCGGGGGCAGGCTGCGGGGGGCCGGGCTTGCCCAGGTAACTGCCCATGAGGAGCAGTTCAGCGGGGTCGGGTCCTTCGAGCGGGCTCCGCGGCTCGAGGAGGTTTCCGTTTACCGCCGACTTGGCCGGGGGCGAGGCGTGCAGTGCTCGCTGACGCCGCGCGCTCCGAACCAGCGAGGAGAGGGCGCGCGAACCTCGGGGCTCGCGGCTCAGTCCCCACCAGGCCGCGGTGGCCCCCACGGCCAGCCAGGCCAGCGCCGCCGCCGCCGGCACCAGGTACAGCACGAGGCCGAACAGCGACAGGCCGAGGAGCGCCGCCCCGGCCGACCCACCGCAGCCCCCGCCCCGGCCCCGGCCGTCCCTGGCGCTCGCTATCGGCCGCCGCCGCTCGCCTCCGCCAGCCGCCGCAGCCGCCGGAGACATCGCGGCTCCGCGCCGCGGAGGAGACTTAAATATCCCAGCGTGCACCGCGCCGCGCGCCGCGTCATCGTGCGCCAGCTGCGTCACTGCGCACGCGACTCGACGCCCGACCGCCGCGGGCAACGCCGCTGCTGCCCGGCAACGCGCTAGACCCGGCCCAGCTCCGGAAAAGCGGCCTCCCAAAAACGCAGTGCTCGGCTTCTTGCGGGTTCCGCGCGTTTCCGCCACGCACCCATACCGAGGTGAGCCTGTGGAAGAGTCGCGTTAAAAATAAGAGCTCCGGGAAGCGACGTGATACCTGATCCGTGTCATTTTCTAGGGGGCTCAAGTCCCCGGAAGAGATTGTTACCAGAGGTGGTGAGGTTTTTCAGTTGCCCTGTTTACTGCCAAAGGGGGTTTACTTCTACAGCAACAGTGAAATGCAAAACCAACCCAAACCAACCACCCTTTTAAATGTGGATCTAATTCTAATAAATTCGCGATCAAGCAGTCTAACAAAGAGTCTAACAGACTGAGGATCAAACCTGAAGCTGTGATCAGAGTCTGAGTTGCTGCGGTACAAATTGCTTCAGTGGGACAGTAATCTACCAAATTTCACATCATGGTCCAGAATTGGGTAAATTTTGAGGATCTGTGATCAATCTACCTATGTTAATGTGGTGGTCTGAGAAAGTGGGTTGTGGTTGTCAAGGGCTGAGTGTCTGTTGGGGGTCGGAAAATGAAGACTGCTAAAAGGTAGAGTTTTCTTTTTGAAGGAAAACAAAAATGTTCTAAAATTAGATTATGGTGACTGTTGCACAACCCTGTGAATTATATGGTATGTGAATTAAGTCGTAATAAAACCGCTAAAAACAAAAACAAAAAACCTTGGTGGTCTGCCAATTCAGATTTTGACCTAGCTCAGCTTCTTTGATCATTCATTCACTCCAACTACTGATCTACACTGAAGAGATAGATGAAAGGGTAAAAAGACAGAGTCTCTTACCTCTGGAAGCCTTTTGTTTAGTAGAGAAGAAATACGTGTAATTAGAAAGCTACAAGTCAGTGTGGCCAGTTATTAACCAGCACAGAAGAGAGAAGGAATGATAAAGGAGAAAATAGTCTGGGAAGTGTTACTTTAGGGGAGAGAACTGGCTAAAGCCAGGTTCAAGGCAGATGCAGGAGCACTGTGCAGAAGTACAGAGATGGAAAGGAGTATATGATACAAGAGTCTCCAAACAGTTTAATGTGGCTGCAGATTAGGAGGTTTGAGGGAATGGTTGGAAAGATAGGCAGGGCTCAGTAAAGATGCCTCTAGAGCAACTTGGAGATGAGCAAGGCAGGCAGTTCTCCCCAACCCACTCCCAGGGCAATTCTGCTTCTGTTTGATTTCACATAAGACTTCATTTGAAAAGCAAACGGATGGGTTGTTACTCAGGAACAAATGTCAACAGCAGCAGCAGAATGGTGGGACAAAAGCCAAGCTGCAGTGAGTTAAACGATGAATGGAAGACTAGTCAGTGACTGCAGACTTCCCGTTCAAGGAATTTGGATAATAAAGTATTTAGCGGGGCGCCTGGGTGGCTTAGTCGGTTAAGCGTCCGACTTTCGCTTAGGTCATGATCTCGCGGTGTGTGGGTTCGTGCCCCGCGTTAGGTCATGATCTCGCGGTGTGTGGGTTCGTGCCCCGCGTCGGGCTCTGTGCTGACTGCCAGCTCAGAGCCTGGAGCCTGTTTCAGTCTGTGACTCCCTCTCTCTCTGACCCTCCCCTGCTCACGCTGTCTCGCTCTCTCTCTCTCTCCTAGAAATAAATAAAACATTAAAAAAAAAAAAGAAAAGAAAGTATTTAGCTCGGCAAGTTGCTTTAATTTACCATATATTACTGGAATTCAGAGGAGGAGCCAGACATAAAAGCCATCAGTGTACACATGTTGGGAGAATAAGATTACTTTGGCATTAATGTAGTAGAGAGACCTGGGCCCCAGGGCACCCTAGTGTTTAGAGGTTGAAGAAATGGACACACAAAACCTGCAAATTGTTTAGTAAAATTTAGATAAGTACATTAAAATGTAACACTCTGTATGGGAAAAGGCAACACAGGTACTAAAAGACAAGCCAATTAAGACTGAGAAAAAAACAGGGGTGCCTGGGTGGCTTAGTTGGTTAAGCATCCGACTTTCGCTTAGGTCATGATCTCACGGTTCGTGGGTTCGAGCCCCGTGTCGGGCTCTGTGCTGACTGCCAGCTCAGCGCCTGGAGCCTGTTTCAGTCTGTGACTCCCTCTCTCTCTGACCCTCCCCTGCTCACGCTG